CATGTGCATGGGGAGAACATGCTAATTCCACGTATTAAAAGGCCCCAGGCCAGGAAGCGATCCTGCGACCTCCTTGCGGAGGGAAGATACTAGCTCTAACTACAGTGCCGCTGCGCCGCCCCGTCAGATGGAGTAAACTGAGTAAATGCATCATGAACTTTCCTCTAGCTATATGTTTCATAAATATTTTCAAATTATTTTACATCCCTCTGAGGACCAGCCCGTGGGAAAAAAAAAACATTACTCCACATCAGAATGTTGTGAGCTGATCCTATTGACTGTGTCTTCCACTACCTGGGCCATTTCTAAGCCTCAAATGATAATCCTCACGAGGCCCTCATTAGGCCTTTCGCTTCAATTAAGCTACACTCATTTTGCCGCAGCACAATTACTCTGCACTGCATCTCACAAATCCTCCAACACTGGATTAGCTTGTTCACTGGGTGGGATGAAAACAGCTATGCTGGTAAAAGTCTGCARAAAGAGGTGAGCAGTTGGATGGTGGCAACAGCCATTGCTTGTTTGTTGGTTTAAATGAGGGGGCGACACATGCGGCTAGTTGCTAGCACTGTTTCCTCTCAGTAAGAAGGTTGCCGGATCAAATCCTGGCCGGCAACATTTCTGTGTGCAGTTTGCATGTTCCCGTTGTGCTTGCTTAGGTTTTCTCCGGGTACTCCGGTTTCCCCCACAGACCAAAAACATGTACGATAGGTTGCYTTCAAACCTAGGCMTCCTTTGCAAAAGAGATCTGTGATCTCAATGGATTAATGAAAAAAAAAATTGTCAATAAAATAGACCTGTCCCAAGTGCACCCTGTCCCTCACATAGTGACTGATGGAATTGGGTACCAGTAACTCCTGGGACCCTGAAAGGAAGAAGTGGGTAAAGATAATGGATGGGCAGTAATCAAATCCCTACTCTGCATTTGACCCATCACACACGATGCACACCCAAGTGGAGCAGCAGGCTCCAGCTCCCAGGGAGTGGGCAGGGATTCTGTGTCCTTCTCAAGGACACCACAACATGTGAGCATGGTAAGGAGTTGCACCTGTGACTTTCTGGTTCCRAGTCGGCTGCCATTGCTGCCCCAACTGCACACTATGCATTCATACTTCTAAAAGTTTTGTGTCGATTGTATTTTATGCAGATTTTTTTTATGGTTGCACGCGATGAAAAGTGTTCTCATCAAATGTCTGACTTTTACGATACATCTTCCATTCTGTGTTGCAGAGACAGAAAAAAATCACCAAATAATAAATATGTACAAATAAATAAATAAAAAAAGATAAATAATAGCATTTTTAAGATTTCTTCACAATTATACAA